TAGTTTTAGGTAGGTGAAGAGTATGGATGGAAAAGGAATGATCAGGTGTTGTCTGCTAAGTCCATTTAGGAATGGAACTCCAAAAGAGAGCCAAGAACACTTTGTGGAAGCTTAAACACAGGTTGTAGAAAGCAAATATTCTCAAGGTGTGTGCAGCTGGGAAACGAAGACTCAGGAAGACACTGAGATGCACAGAGCAGTTTGCTTGAGTAGTTCTCCTACTCACCATGGTGGTGGCTTCACAGAAGTCATCATTGTGCAAAGAATTGTACACCCTCCCTCTACTACTGCTCCATAGCATTGTTCCCATCAGCTTTCTAAAACATGAACCTGCTTTGGCTATTCCTTTCTGGACTCTCTTAATACTTCCCTGTTGGTTCTATGGGATAAAGTCTACATGCTATATCAGAGTATATGGGACCATTCATGATTTATCTTATATGTACTTTTACAGGCTCCTTTCTCTTCTCTTACCACATTTTCATGTCCTGAGCTCCACACTACTAAAGTCTACGCATGTAATGTAGCCTTCCAAAGAGCAATATTATTATGTTTTTAAGACACTACTCACTAGACACTCAGCACATAGTAAGTGCTTGATAATGTTTATTAGATGAATGAGTAAATCAAAACACAGTTACTGTATAAGCTGTTTTCTCTGTCAGGTTTTCCCTTTTGAAATATAAACCTATAACATGTGGTTAGTACATGAGAGATATTCATGAAGAATTTGTGAATGAACCATTTGCCTGATTGGATCACAGATTATATTGCACGTTCATAGTCAGCCCTCATTTATTCATGCAGTTGAAGGGATATTGGATGAGCCAAACATTGAATTATAGTGTGGTTGATTTTCTTGGAATTTATAAAATTATCAAGCCAAACAATGACTATCTGAACCTTGAGAGACTGGAAATTTGGCTGACTTGTCTGTTTCCTCCCTTTCCCACAGAATTTTTTCCCCCCTCTATTCTGAGTCCATTAGTATCAAACCCAAGACTCAGGAAAATACCACAGAGCTGGCCTAAGACAACTCTCCTAATAGTTAAACCTATCTGAGGTTAAGAAGGCTTTTCAGGGTTTTGAACTGCATTAGGACTTTGGTTTGAGTTGGGTGTCGGAGGAAGTGAAAAAGTAGATAAGAGATACTGAATAATCAGTACGTTACTACTTTATTGTAGCTTAATTATGGCATAAAATTGAAAGGAAGCCATCATGCAACTCTGCTGTAGGCACCAAGTCTACCTTCTCAGAGATTTTCTTCTCAGGCTGGGCTGCAGCTGCTTCTAGGGTCAAGGATAGGACAGATATATTTATCTGAAGGATCCTTTTTATTTGGATATTGGGAAAGCAATACTTTTACAATAAAAGAAATCTAGAGCTATTTATTTTAATTATAAAATCTATGTGAACCTATAAAGTCTAAAGACTGAAAAAGCAATCAGCAGAGGTTTTCTTTTCTTTCTTTTTTCCTTTCTTTCTTCCCTTTTCCTTCCTTCCTTCCTTCCTTCCTTCCTTCCTTCCTTCCTTCCTTCCTCCCTCCCTCCCTTCCTCCCTCCCTCTCTCTTTCTCTCTCTCTCTTTCTTTCTTTCCTTCCTTCCTTTCTTTCCTCTGTGTGCTTTGTGCTCAAGGCTAGTGCTCTACCACTTGAGCCATAGTACCACTCTCTGGCTTTTACTGAGTAGTTTATTGAAGATAAGTCTCATAGACTTTCCTGCCTGGATTGGCTTTGACCCACAATCCTCAGATCTCAGCCTTCTTGGTATCTAAGATTACAGGTGTGAACGCCTGACAACATCTATTTTTTAGGCTGGGTAGACTCCTTTGTTATCTGAGAAAAGTTTTGAAAAGCATGCTCATTGTACTTAAAGAATTCATTTGTCACATGCAAGATTGAATGATTATAGTATAGAAATTTAATTCCAAGTGCATATTTGATAGTAAAGCCTTTTAAAATCTTTTTTTTAACTTCATCACTGATTGAGACTGGTATTCTTTTTCAGTCATCTTCTGTTTGTAAAGGGATATGGCTGATCTTCAGCTTCACATTGTTGCATGAAAAAGCACTAATGACCCAAAGCTGCAGAAAAAGATGCCCTTTTGCCTTTGGGAACAAGTTCAATCAGGGACTAGCTTTATTTAGAACCAGTTGGAGAGAGCATACTGCTGGCAATTCCAAACCGTTTAAAAAACAAAAGTTACGGTTATTAATTTTTGAGGCCACGAAAGCATGAATCAACATTATAGCAGTGTCACTATCTCTGTAGGAACTGGTTTCAGCTAACTGTGGCAGCAAAATAAACGTTTGCAGATTGTTTTGACAGAATGTCATTTGCCAGGCTTCACTTTATTCGCCAGCAAGCCTTGCTTCTGAAACAAGAAAAATCCTCCACCCGAACATTCTGGACCTTCACAAAAACCTCCGTTTGCAAGTATTTGTCATGTAGCTCTGTAACTGTTTTTTTAAGAATGGAACATGTTACTAAGAGATGTACCTCTGAACATCTGTTTGACATATTTCACCTCAAAGAATAGGAAAATGGGTCACCGCGGTGGCACAAGCCATTTAAAACCACAGATTACATGTTTCTTTGAAGTTCTCTGGGTCACGCTGTAAAGTAGAAAGGTACTTCTTCAGTAATTTGCCAAATTCCTGATAGCAGTTATTGCTCCTTGTCATATAGTCTTAAAGACTGTAATCTTCTTTAGCTAATTTTTACAAGATGCTTAGTTTTTAACTTCTAAAATGATGTGTATTTTTGTGTGTGTGCTATTAGTTGTTTATTGTTATTACTATTGTTATCATAAGATGATAATGATGATGTATGTGCCAATATAGAGGCTTGAGTTCTTATTCATCTTCTTCAGTCATAGCTGGTGTTCTACCATTTGGGCCATACCACCATTTCTGCCTTTTATTTAATCATTATTTTCAAGTAGTTGTACAGAGGGGTTTCAGTTCAACATGCTAGTTTTTGAGTACACTGCATCTTGATCAGTGTTTACCTGTTTTCATAATTCTCCCTCATCTCTCCCAGTCCTTTCCATCGTCTCAATTTTCCTAGCTCCATTTTCACCTATATACCTTGATATTATCAGTGCAATTGCTTACTTTTCCTCTCCAGTTCGTTTCGTTCCAGCTTTTATTGGCTAATTAGAGATGAGAGTCCCCAGGATTTATCTGCCCAGACTGGCTTCAAACCCTGATCCTCAGTTCTCAGCCTGTAATCCTTTTTTTTTTTATTGTAATGTATATCCATCTCTGAATCCTGGGCACATGTAACTGTAGGAGGTTAATTTATGCCCTGGAAACAGTGTTTTCATAAATCTATTCGCGATTGGGAAGAAAATTCTTTTCTCTAACTCTAGTTTTTTTGCATGTCTTGGATTTTGTTTTTTATTTTTTTTTGGTCATGGGGCTTGAACTCTGTGCCTGGGTGCTGTCCCTGATCTCTTCAGCTCAAGGCCAGCACTCTACCAAGTTACATTCTCAGCCAAGTCTTGTTTTTATTCATTTTACCTGACTCTTAAATGGTCTGTAACTCCCCAAGTTAAAAGTAACAATTTGGAGGTTTAATATTTTTGAGCTCTGGAATGAATTTAGACAACTTCTAAAGCCATTTGAAACTAGAGGAAAATAAATGAATAGTATGGATGACTCAATTCCAAACTTAATGTAAGAAAAGTTTCACACTCACTGAAAGTCATATTGTGGCTATGTAGTTCTTTGGTCCTTTAAAGAAAAAAATAAACATATTACCACTTTGGCATGCCTCACTTACACAGAGTTCAAGCTACTGGCAATCTGTGTTTTAGAGATTCAAAATGTGGGCTTTTAAAATTTCCAGTGTTCACAAACACAGGAGCAAATAGACATGAAGGAAGAGCATTCTCTATCAGGAAGAGTATGGACCTTATGTCAGATATATTTCTGTCATGGTACCTCCCTGTTCCTAGATGTGTGACTGGGCTGATGTGCGTAGTCTCCTTCAATATGCATGCATGTAGAGATGGTGGTTGGTTATGGGGGTGAACTGAGGAGTGAAGCAGCCATGTTCACCGTAAGTGTTACTGACCACAGTTATGTTAACGACCAATGTAAATATGTTCAAACTGTCTGGCCAGGAAAAAGTGCAAACAAGCTGAAGATTCTCTTCTGTCAGCTTGTATTAGTAACTTAGATTTTAAAGAAGTTATGAGTGGTAATAAAGTGACAAAAATCTAAAGTCTATGACACTGGAAAATAGATGTATATAAAGTTGGAAGAAAAGATTGTAGTAGTCATGTAGCCTTGCTGGTATGTACCCTGAATTCATGAATCCTGAATACCTTCTGTTGTGCTAACTCATTCTTTATACTATTCTGCAACTGTATAAATTTCAGCTTTACAAGTGGCTCTTTCTTGTCCCCCCCAAAAAAAACACCAAAAAACCCCCAAAAACAAAACCAAGGGAGCTGGCAGAGATATTTGGTTGGTTTTCAGGTGAATGTCCGATATCTGGTTTATGAGATCGCTAAAGTACTTTAAACTTTCAATTGTTGGAAAGATAGATTCAAACTTATGTAGATTTTCAAAGGCCTCATAAATGGACAACTGTATTTCTGAAGTAGTTTTAAACTGATATTTCATGATCTAAAGCTGGGCTTGTCTGAATAAAAGGCAAAGGATCTCTAAGTTTTATGACTGACATTTAATTAATTGGAAATTCTGCACCCAATTAAAGAATAGCAATGCCTTCCCCATTACCACAGCTTTAGAAGTCACTAAATACTTCCTCTGCAGGTTCATTCTGAACAGGAAGCTGTTAATAATCAATTTCTTTTGAAGTGGCCCTCATTTACCTCACTCCCAATGAACTGCAGTTACCTCCAGATGGCTTGAAGTGCAGTTCACAGGTTTTTAATATGAGAAATTAAGAAACATTGGATGGAACGATGACAGTGGAAATAACATTGTTTGACATCACACTATAGAATAGATGCATTTCCATAGTACATTTTTTTTAGACATAATGCAAGTTTTATTGGGGAACGTGATCGAAGTGGGGGTGATATAGCTCAGTGGATGGAGGCCTTCATGAGTGCAGGGCTCGCCACTTATCCAGAGGACCACGATTCGGGATGTATTTGACTCCACAGCCATCAGGGATGAGGCGCTTCTCAGCTACCATGTCTTCAAACTCATCCGCGTTGAACTTGGTAAAGCCCCACTTCTTGGAGATGTGGATCTTCTGACGACCAGGGAACTTGAACTTGGCCCTGCGTAAGGCCTCAATTACGTGTTCTTTATTCTGCAGCTTGGTGCGGATGGACATGATTACCTGGCCAATGTGAACCCTGGCCACAGTGCCCTGGGGTTTCCCAAAGGCACCCCGCATACCTGTCTGGAGCCTAGATAGGGGGACAGTATAAAGTCAAAGTCATGAAAATACACTGGAAAACTGTCTCCAAGGTCCCTTAGGGCAACCCATACAAGCAACAGGCTGCATACACTACCAAGGAGGTTGCTGTTTGCAACCAGTGCACACCACGTCCCCACGAGAAAAGGAACCTGGTCGGCTTAATTGGCTGCAGAGTCCATAGTACATTTTTAACAGGAGACTAAAATGCCTAGCCAGTCCAGATGCCCATTCCCATCTCTTTTCCATCTGCTTTGTGCATCTTGACAATATGGATGATTTAGTAGGAAGTTAGTTGTTTCTGTTACAAATTATCATCCACAACCTGAAAAAAACCAAAAAACTTCTAAAAGCTTAGATAATCCCATTTTATTGTTTACTAAAAACAGATTTAGCAAATTTCTATTAATAATTGGGGAAGGTAGTTAAAAAGAGCACCAAAACTTACTCTTTAATTAGAATCTTATCACTTCCATCCCATTTCTTATGTAGTTAATTTTTTTCTTTTTTTTTCTTTTTTAACAAATGATCTTTAGATTCTGGCCTGTTTTTAGGACTTTTCTGACCAGAGGAAAAATGTTGCTGGTTGGTGTTCCTATACACTCTTTGGAGTCAATAAAAGAAGATGTCTTAGGCTGGATGTAATGGTCATATTTATAATCCTAACTCTTTGAGAGACAGAGATTGGGAGGATGTGGTTTGAGGCCAGCCTAGGCAAAAAGTTATGGAGACTCCATCTTAAGCAATATGTCTGTGTGTGGTGGCACTCATCTTGTCATTCCAGCTATATGGAAAACATTAATAGGAGGAATAAGAGGATCACTGTTTAGGCTAGTTGGGAATAAATGCAAAATCCTCTTCTTCAAATAACTAGAGCAAAAAGAGATGAGGTATGGCTCTTATGGTAAGGTGCCCATCTACTGAGTTCAAGGGCCTGAGTTCAACCTCCAGTACTACCAACACTAAAAGAATTCAAAGAAAAACAACCCCAAATACTAAGTGATGTAGTCTGTTTTGTGATGCCATAATAATACCATAACTAGCATGTGCCCTCCCTCCCTCCCTCCCTCCCTCCCTCCCTTCCTTCCTTCCTTCCTTCCCTCCTCATGTTTATTAAGGCATATTAATTGTTTTGTTTTGATATTTTCATACATGACTGGCTAATTTAAATGGAATAGAAAGGTATTGGCTTCCAGCTCTGGAGAGCTGAGAAGCCCAGTTCACAGGGCTCACCTTCTTGATGTGTCATACATGGCAAAAGGCATCAGGAGACAGGGGACAAAGAGAGGACAATAATAAGCAAGACATGCCGAGTGCTAGTGGCTAACACCTGTAATCCTAGCTACTCAGGAGGCTGAGATCTGAGGATCTCCCTTCAAAGCCAGCCTGGGCAGGAAACTCCATGAGACTCATCTCCAGTAAACTACTAGAAAACCAGAAGTGGTGCTGTGGCTCAAGTGGTAGAGCACTCGTCTTGAGCTGAAGAGCTCAGGGACAGCACCAAGTCCCAGAGTTCAAGCCCCATGACCACCACCACCACCAACCACCAAAAAAAAAAAAAAAAGCAAGGAATTAGCACTCAACTATTGCAGTGAGAGCATTAGTCTGTTGGTGAGGGCTAGCCTCTGGTGACCTTCAGAGCGCCCAATGTTATCACAACAGCAATTCAATTTCAATGGGTTTTTTTTTACTCAGATCCTAGCATGAGACATAAGGCATACATTGTCTGAGAACAGTATGGCAATAGATGTCAGGCAGCAAATGTTGGAAGATCTGTTATTTTTTTTTCTTTGCAGAGAATATGATTGAATTTCATAGAAATTAAGGATCACTATTAACTAATTTTGGATCCTTGACTAAGAGCAGACCTAAATAAGGCTAAAAAGAAGAAAAGCTTTTTGCAGAATCTTGTTGATCTGTCTACATTAGGTTCAGAGTTCTTTCAAAATCTTGGGGGCAGCTGGGTTCTGGTGGCTCATAAGGCTGAGATCTGAGGATTGTTATTCAAAGCAAGCCTGGGCAGCAAAGTCCATGAGACTCTTATCTTCAATAAACCACCAGAAAACTAGAAGTGGCACTGTGGCTCAAATAATAGAGTGCTTGCCTTGAGCTGAAGAGCTCAGGAACAACACCCAGACCCAGAGTTTAAGCCCCATGACCTACAAAAAAAAATCTTGGGAGCAGTCTTTTCTGCAAGGATACCTCTCTCTCCCTTCCTCCCCTCCCTTCTCCCCCCTCCTGTCCTCCTTTTCTCTCTCCACCCCCTCCCTCCCCTTCCTCTTCTTCTCCCCTGCTTTCCCCTCTCTCTCTTCCCCTTTCTGTCTTCCTCTCTCGGTCTCTCTTATCTCGATCTCTCAGTCTCTCTCCCTTTTCTCTAACAGTCACTTGTAATGTTTCCTTAATTTTTCCATTCTTTCCCCCTTTTCAAAAGAGGTAATTTTTTGAGCCCAAGAAAGATGAAT